ATTCTTCATTCAATAAGACTCCTTTATCCCATCGGATATTCATAGATCCGATGTCACTAATGGATTCGAATAGATCTGGATTTCCCACGGTTATTCCATATCCAGTGAACGATAATTCACATTCGAATGCAGTTAATAGTGACCATATGAGAAACGGTAGAGCATAACGAGACTTCTCTTACTTTTATGATTTCATTAGAATCATACTATTATAAAGATTATATTTTAACGTGGACGAGGAGATAAGGAAAAAAACGAGGTTTTTATAAAAAAAATTTTCGAATCTTATTTCCCCATATCTCCGCGGATCTGCCGAAAATCCCAGTACCGTACAAATAACAATTGCATCTGTGGAATGATGCATCGGAAATTCCGCTAGCTTTTGTATATACCTTTTTATTCAGTCTTACCATAACAAGTTCGAAGACGTGAAACAATATGAGGTTAATGAAAAAAGACATTTGGATAAATTCCAAGACAATAATATTATACATGAGAGAATGGCTGTATATGGAATGGTCAACAATATATTTTGCTGTATGTTTAGCAAACTAATAACAGTCGTTACAGTAAACAATGTCCATAAATCAACCATATCTTCATTTAAATTTCTTTTTTGCGAATTAAAAACTTGAGCTTTATTGATAAAATTATAATAAGCATGCACAATGATTACAAAGTAATGCAACGCGCGGTTCGTTCCACAAATATGGTTTTTTTGAGAAAAGCGACCATCGATTGTAGAAGAGGATGCACTTAAAGTACAGTACAGTACATCATATTTAAGTTTGATCATTTGCAAAATCTTTTTAAATACATAAAAAAAAAAAATTATTTACTTATTTATGTTTTTTTTAAATAAAAATATTATATATAAAATTGTGTTTCTCGTTTGTATTAAAAATATTGGTTTTTATATGTTTATTATAGATGATACTAAGAAAATTTTATTAAGAATAACGTATACTATAATGATTGAACTTGCAGTGCGTGCAGAAAAACTCCAGAAAAAATTTTTTAAATTATTTATTAAAAAGGATTAATAACGATTGATTTCAATCACTTATAATTGACAATTTTATATACAAGTATCATAAACCTTGAATTCCTATTGGCCTAGACTGCTAAAATAATAAACCCTCGTGGCTTTTTTTTTTTAATGTATTTTTGTCTAATTATTTAACTATAAAAAAAAAAAGAATGTAATAAAATTTTCAAATAAATTTTTTTTGGTTCAATTCTTTTTTCGTTTGATATAATGCATATGCGCCATAGAGAAATACAAATAATAATAAAAGATAAAATAAATGCATCCACGTTGAATTGGCGTGCGATTGATCTGACTCTCGTTTTCTTGTAAAGTCCTGATTGTATCGTTGGGTTGCTATACGTGCCTATTAATGAAAAATGTTAGCCGCCAAGAACGGATAAAATAAACTATACGAGAAAAGACGACCGGATGGCACTTACGTCTAACGATTCGATCTTTCTTACCATCCGTTGTAGATCTTCTTTTAATTCTCGAATTGAATAGTCATTGCTGACACTGCCACCAGCAGACATTCTTGATATTCTTGTCTCGAGGCTGGCGACATTATTAATGACTTTTTCAAGTTTTTTTCTAGAAATCAAATATTACCGAAGGAATTGGTCATTAGTGCTTAGAGGATGTAAATAGATGATGGCTTGATACTCACGAAATGGCTGACAAATGAATCTCCGTTTTACTTGAACCACTATAATAATAATCGCCTTGAATTCCATTAATCACATTCAGTCGTTCATGTAACTGATCAAGCGATTCAAGTATTTGAATTTGCATTCCCTTTATAAAATCGACACTCCTCTGAATCATCGTAATCATTGTCAGTAAAGAATTGGTAAAAAATTCAGTATCAGTTGAATAATTATACCCACCGTGTCTTCTCGGTCCTTCGTCTCTTCAGGTTTAGATACAACTTTTTGAATATCCTCGATGCGCTATTTAGAAAAAGAAAATTTTTGTTATGTTTCACCTATAAATTTAAAACGGGTCACATTGTTCGTGGATAAATACTTTTTTAACGTCTTCCGGTATCTCATAAGTATCAGCGGAAACTTTACTCGATTTTTCGGCTTCGTGAGGACGCAGGGGTCGCTGTATTATATTAAATGATAATTTTCTTCATCACAACTATACTAATTACAATCACCGAAACTAAGGGAATCAAAAAAAAGCTTACGTCGCGTTTTTTCGCAGGATTCAATTCATAAGTCGTGAACGAAAGAACGTCGTGATCATCTATCATAAAAAAATTTATAAACAGAAAATCGTATTATAATGATTCGTAAAATTATAAAACGCATACCGGGCGTATCGCCCTCAGCAAGAGCCTGGTTTAAACATATAGATAAGTATTCTGATGAAATCGAACAAGTGAAAAATGAGAATTGGACTCACCGAAACTCCAAAGTAGTAACCTGTCGGCAGAGTTACGTTAACTTCAAAACACGGATGGTAGACTGTACCATCGTCATTGGCATCAACTTCCAACTAAAAGAAATACCAAGTTATTTTAGATTGCGGGTAGATTAAGTAATTAGACCAAAATCATACCTTTAGGGTGTTATTGAAGTATGAGATCCTTGCGAAAACTGGAGACGGTGTATTACGAAACAATCGATAGCAACCTGCAAGCATACGCTCCTGAGGATTCGCTAACTCATTATAGACCGTATTGCCATCATTAAGATGAGCCATTATAAAAGGATGCTCTCGATTCTAAAGATAATTACAAGATTACAAACGGAATGACCGAGACACGTCGAAATAAACATAAGTTTACTCGACTCACCTTTTTATGGTCCGCTGTCTCGAACATGATGGCAAGACCAGTCCACTTATCACTACTTCCATACACAGGTCCTTCTTTTGCTCGCTCTTTGGTATACCAAAATGTGATTCCCCGGCCACCGAGATAGTAATTTCCTGAGATCCTGAACGACATTTCCACCTCCCATTCCTTATGAGGATTCGTTAGTTGAGACCATATCGACCCAGAATGATCAGGAACATCGGGGGCCAATCGAATGAAATCCGGGGCAAGTAATGTTTCTATTGATTAATGTGAAATACCAAGAAGTTAGTAAATCTTTTCTGGCGAACAGGTCAATAATATCGGTGAAGAACAGGTGACGTGATCACTCTGCATTCGAAAGCAATAACATACTTCCAAATGTATCGAAGAAGGGTACGGTATTATTATAATAGTATGGTTTTTTGAAGGTAAGTTTATAGTCGTGTCTTTTTGGTATCTCTTTTGTCTCGTGAGGTAGCCCGGTCGAAATAGCAAGAGTTGGACATGAAAATATCGAATATAATATTAACACCGCAAAAATTAATGCTTCCATTATTCGAGTGGCCATTTTTTCGCTTTACAAATTTCCGTCCTAACAGTATCCAATTTTTCGCGGATAGGCGGAAGGTGATTTTTATCTCTTTTATAATTAATATCGTTAAATTCGAATCTGATAGGATTTCGTGGCTTTTGCTCGGATTCTTCAATTTTTTTATCCTTCATTAACATGGCGTCAACTACCAACCATTACACGACAACTGGCAATAGTCGGACATTTGCATCGCATTACAAATGGATCTTGTAACACTATGATCTCCGGAGAGAATCAAGGTTCCATCAAGCAAACAACTTTAAATATTGTTATATACGGAATAAATCTTATTTTTATTCTTAATCGAGTTAATATAATTGTGGATTAGTTATTATTAAAATTAACTATAATTCTTTTTTTAAATAATTTTTAAATAATTTTTTTTTTTACGTCAACTCTCTTAATCAATTGAAAAAAAAAACTGATTCTTAAAAAAGAATCTTTTAATGTAAAATACTATAATATACTGTATATGTAGACGAAGATAACGAAATGTTAAATAAGATAAAATAAATTTTTAATATTATATACAATATATAATATTTATATATTGTAAAATATTTAAAAAATATATTTGTTATATAAAAATTTTTTGTATTTTATAATACTTACTGTATATTTAATTATTATTTTTTATTAACTTAAAAATTTTAATAAAGTTTTTTTTTTATTATTTAAAACCATTATTTTATTTGAAAATCTATTTTACTAGCTTATTATTATTTATATAAAATATATAATATATATTTAAAGAATATATAATTAAGCTTAATTTTAAAAACTTATTGTTAAATAATATAAATAATATATAATATAAAATTTAATAATTATAAAATAATTTTAATTAAAATAATAAAAACAATTAAAAATTTTACTTGTTTTATTATATAATTAAAAAAATAAATTTAAATTAATTTATTAATATTATTTATATTTATTTTATTTTTTTTTATTTTTTTTTTATAATTAAACAAGTATTTATGATGTTTATTTAATCATTGGAAATGAAAACATAAATATATAGTACTTTTATGCATAAACTAATTTAATACATGAATACTCGTTACTGATTAATAATCCCTAGGTATGATCTTGGAGATGAATAAAGTTGTATCCTCACTTTTTCTATTCTTAAGAAAAGTTAAGTTCATTGCTTACGGTTCATCATTATAGTTTATCTTGGCAAGGTCTTGATTACTTTTATATTTCCAATCACTTAATACCTTCTTTGATCTTATTTTATATAATTTTTGTAAGAAAGATTGCTGGAGTCTTGTTGCTGATTATTGTCTCTACTCGTGATATCATTAATATATCTTTTATTTTTTCCTTAACAACCCTAATCTTTTTCTCTTTATCTTTATCTTTAGCTATATCTATATTTTTTAAAGCTTGATTTGTTTCTTTTTTCTTCTTTCATAATTTGAAGCTAAAGCCTGGCTTGATTGACTCTTTTTGTATTCCTTGATTTCCCTCTTTTATTTTACCTTTTTCTTTGTCTTGGGACCTGTTATGATTATGGAACCTTTCACATCTTATATTCCATATTTGTTGACAGAGTTTCTTATATCAGTTTAAAGATATTTTGTTTAGGATCTTGCATGCTACTGTTTTGTGAATTTGAACTGGCTATAGGATTTTTGTCCATTCCATTATATCTGCCCATGTCCATAATCCTATATTGAGATTAATGATTTCTTTTGCTATTGAAAGTTTGTTTCTCTTCTATTTATCTATTAGCTCAATAATTGGCTCTGAATTCCATTTTCCATTTTTCTTGTTTTTTGTTATGTTCTTTGGGATCCAAGATGAAATTGTCTTGTTAATAATATCTATTTATATTTCGTTTCTCTTTTTCTAGAGTTCTTTATATATTAGCAAGTAATCTAATGTTTCTTCCTGATCCTGGCAAAAAACATATTTGATGTTCTTGAGCTGCTTCTGAGTATTGCTTTTGACTAGATTATCCATCATTGACAATTCATTGTGGATAAGTTTGATTTTGAATATTTTTTTTTTCATAAGTTTGAAGAATGTAGTTAGAGATTTTTTGTTATTATTATGGGACCAGAATTCTCTTTAATCAAACTCGCTATCTTTCTCTAACTTTTTTTTTCATCTTTATTGAATTCTATTAAGGGATATCCATTGTTTTTTTATTATATTCTTTAATAAAGACTTATATTGAGATATCAATTGGAATACCATTTCATTCTGATACTGTAATTGGAACTATTGATGATAGTGCTTTCTATTCTATTCCTGCTTCTTCTTTTGTTGCCTTGGCTAAAAGATCTACTTGACTATTCAACTTGTCTTTGTTATGAGCTTTGACTTTGATGAGTTGCACTTATAAATGTTTTCTAAAAATTGCACTTATTATTCTTGACTATAGTTACCAGTTTGATATTTTCATGTCTTTTTATTATGTTTTTTGGGTGAGGTCTACAAAGTCTCATAAAGATATTTATACATGATGCACTAACTGTTTTAATCTCTAGAATCTTATTATTTGATACTGATAATATTGTTAGAAGGATTACTATCAGCTCTGCTCTTGTGGATAATAATCATTTATCAACTCCTACTTGAAAAGATCTGTCTGGATTTGGTTCCTCGATTTGAAGCCAGGCCACTTCCATTCTTATCAATTGATCGAATACTTTTCCTATGGCTCCATCCATATAGAATTGATAGGAGCCTTAATAGCTGTTGTCTATATTTATTTTATATTCTGAGCAAAGCTATAAGCAGTAGTCTTCTAATATAATGTTATCTTGAATGATCTATATTTCGTAATTTTCTATTTCTATATATTGTAATTTAAATAGGGTTGAATTATTAGGTTGCAATTTATTCAGTTTGGCCTTAGCTTGACTTTCTAATATATAAATCTCTATTGGAATCAAAAGTTCTTTGCCTTTCCTATATTTTGCAATTTTGTTTATCCAGTTGAAAGAGAGTAAGGGATTTTGGTTGATATGTTCTTGAATCATTTTGATTTTTGTGAATTTAGTTGTTTCTAGGATTGATCCTGTACTGATTTGAAAGTATTCTGTTCCTGGATTACTTATTGATTTTGAGCTCTTGCTTCTGAACCAAAAGAGTTTTTGTTTTGTCTCTGTATTTCAACTCATTTGCCAATTCTATCTTCTATAATCTACTTATATATTTTGTATAAAAAGTATTCTATTTTGTAATATCCAATTAAAACTTCTTCAACTTTGTTTAAGAACACCAAACTCATTTGGCATTAGTTGTTTGATGGTCTGATACCAGCTTGGTAAAGATCCTTGTCCATAGTTATTTGAAGATTGTATAACTTTCCAGTTTAGAAATATATTGTTTTCACTGTTTATTAATTGGTCAATGAATATCATATTATGTTTTTTTAGGAATTTTACTGCCTTGGTATAGGTAAGAAAATCATTTAATAATGTCTTGACTGTCAGGTATCCTTCTTTCCATTGGAAGATATCGACCATTGAAAATTTGAAAATATGATACCTATTCTATTTGCTGATTTAAGTATTTGTACTAAGAGATTTCTTTTGTAGTTGTTATATGATATATTCTTGATGAGGATATTTGCTGGCTCCCAATACTATATCTGCACTTCTTTAAATCAGATTAGGGTGAATGTGCCTAAGTAATTATTACTGTTTAATTGGTTTGTGAGATTGATAATTTGGTTTTCAAGCTATATTTTCCAGATGCTTTTGATTTTGTAAAAAAGTTTATGGTATATAACAAAGTTAGACATTGTTTCTGCTATATACATTACTCTTTTTAGCATTTTCTGAAATTGTGTTAAGAGATAATTGGCTGTATGGAAGTTGATTAAACTATATTATAGCCTATATTTTATTCTGGAGATAAGAATTCTATTGATTATATATTCCATATACTTGTTGGTAATCAACTTTTTTCCCAAGTTTGGTAGGATTGCTTGGATTTTCTATTGGATTCTATTGTATATATCTTTTGTTTAATCTTTGTTCCCTAATCAAATGTCTAAAAATCTTGAGTGACTATTATAGTCTAGTTCTATGACTTCTTCTTGTTTGATGCCCAGGTAAATTTTGTTGAGGTTTTTATTTTTGCTATTTATAGTTATTAATACAGACTTGTTTCTATTGATCTGTGAGTTATTCATTGCATAAAATCATTTAGTTCATTTCAAAATATGCTTTATATCTTTTCAAGATCTTGCTATCCAAATAGTGTTATCCATATATGCAATTGCTGCTTGTCTTATGAATAATTTTTGTGGTTTCTCTAAGTTGATCAATGGATTACTAAAATCTGATTGCTAGAAACATTTTATGAAGTATCCTAACATTTCATTTTCTTGGATTTCACATAGTAGGAGTCATAAAAGATTCTTCAAAGAAGTAAGGAAATCATTTTCCTTTGGTTGATACCATCTCCTGCTATTACTTCCTTTATTAGTCCTATGTCCATGATGATCTTAATTCTTCTTTATATGAAAGGATTCAGAATAAGTTAAATGATTTTTTCAGGAACTTTAATTCTTAGAAGTACTCGTCTAAGTATTTTTAAACTAATTGTGTCATATGCCTTGGCAGTATCTTGAAGTAGGATTCAGAATTCCTTGTTTTTTTCATAAGCTTCTTCACAAATGTTGTTAAGCAAGTAAATTGGATTAGAGGTGCTATCACCAGAAAGTCCTACAAAGTTGGGTTCTTTTAGTATATTATGTTTTTTGTATATAAGAACTAGTCAGTTATTAAGAATCTTGATGAAGTATTTGTATATTGTTTCTAGTAAAATTATTGATCTTGTATTGCTGAGTTCTCCTTGCTATTCTTTTTCTTTAGAGATAGGATAGAACAAACTGTTTTTCCATAATATTGATATTCATCCTTGCTTGAGAAACAGATTGAAAAAGCTATATAGAACTTTTTTGACTTTTGGTTCTAACTTTTTGAGCATTTTGTACTTGATTTTGGAAG